TACAATGCCCTGTAGTCTGACATAGACTGGCATTACTCGTAGTGCCAATAAACTACCTAAAAGTAATTGGGATCTTTACAAATGAAATTACAGAGACGAAAGATGGATGCTGATTTTAAAGAAAAAATAGCAAATAACAGACAAATAAAAATGTCCCAGCATGGTGCATGAATAAAGAAAATAGGCAATTGGCCACAAATAAAAGTAACAGCACTTCTTTAGAAGTGTTTTGCTCTAAAACTGTGATGGATTAACTGAATGGTTGCTTTAAAATTATATTGTTGCTACAGGAAAGAGGCAGCTGAAATTTAGAGTTGTTTAGAAGAAAGCATGGAGATCTATGAACGTGTCTTGTAGAGTCTCCACTGATTAAGGCTCCATGGCTGAAGAGGAGTACTGTAATAGAAGGAATCCATTATCAGTCACTCAGTCAAAATAGTGATGGGGTCTGCAAAATGCTGAGGAAAATTATAGTCTGTGAAGATTCAACCCAGAATGATTTTGGGCAACTTAGTTCATATGAATTCGATTCCTACTTTAGGATGGATTATTTGCCTTTTGAAGGGGTCCGTCTATGCTCTAAATATCTTTTATGGTGGCATGATAAAATTCAGTGTTGATAAATGAAAACCAAAGAATGTGAAAACATGAACCAAAACCCAGTCAGAACATAGCAGTTCAGTGTTCAGATGATGTAGTAAAGCCAACAGAATATTAAGATTGATGAAAAGAGTTTTAATACAGATGATGCTACACATCAGGGATATGCCTATGTTTGAATACTTCATACAGTTTTTATCAACTCATCTGAAAGAAGAAATGGTGTAGGATGGAAACGTACATGGAAACATGAGAAGGATTACTAAGTCTGGAACTGCCTTCATATAAAGAGAAACTAAGACAGGTGAGAGTCTCCAGTTTCTTTAGGGTCATCAACAGTGAGGCTGTGAGATGACTAAATAAGGAATAAGTAAGCACTAGTCCTTTATAACTCAAAAATTAGGGGTGATACAATGAATTATCAAATAGTAAGTTAAATATTAAAAAAAATTCTTAAAATAAGTAAGTTGTGGAATGCATTTTCACAATGTCACTGTTGCCACAATGATAACAATTCCATTGACTACACCAGCCAAGAATTATCACACAGACTTTGCATCTGGAAATCTTGGAGATCTTAAAGACCTAGAAGACCTTTAGAGTGTAGGCATGAAATAACGTGTGTGGATTTTGGGAACATTCACTACAGCCAGTCCTCCACTGAGGTAAGGGAACTCGTATCACCAGCATAGCATAATGAAGAACTGCTGGACCTCCACAACCTTCGGTCAGAAAGCCACATCTGTTTCTTGTGACTATCACCTTGGTTCTCAAGCCAAATGTATGGGTACCAAACATGTTCCCGTGTACATACAACCTTGAAAATTTTCTCTTCGCATTGTACCTACAAATGCAAGAGAAGCAATTACATTGCTGTTTCTAGAAATTACAATTATATATTTCTTGATGACAGAATTTAGTTATTTTTAAATAATTATTTGCTTCCAGCAAATGAATGTACAGCAAATGGCTGGTTTGAAGGTCAGCATGGAGGTCAGACAGGCAACCCTGAGCTAGGGGCAGTTTCTATCCTAGCATCGTTTTCCATGCTGCGGTCACTCCTCTAATTCACATGCCAGGAATGGTTTCTTCTCGACGAGAAACTAGAAGCCCAAGTTACAAGAGTGAGTTGCTAGTGTCTTTCCAGAAATAGCTGTATCTTTTGACCTGTGACCATGAGGAGAAGGCTGGAGAAAAGGGTTTGGCTTACTTCCCATCTTAATAACATATGGGAAAAGGGCTAGCAGAATATTTCAGTTTATAGTATACTTCATCAGCAAGAACAGCAGCCAATTTCTGAATTAAGAAGTCAGAGAAAACAGAAAGCCTGAGAACATTTAGGTAACTTTTAAAATAATTTTCCTAAGATTTCTTATTGGTTTATTTATTAATTAAGAATTTGAAAGTGAGAAGAATTGAAATAGCTACAATATGTTTTCTTGGTCAAGGAGCTACTGAGCAAGGCATATGACTGCAAAGGAACAGAGGTTTTGGATGGGGCAAAGAAATGAAACCTGAGTGTAGTAAAATAAATTAGTACATTACTCATACATAGCACTTTCTTATCCTTAATCCCCAGTGATTTCAATTACATCATTAAACTCATACATGAGTTTTAAGTGCTCGGCTGTGTATAAATGATCGTATTCGTATGCTTAAAGTTGAACAAATGCTTTGATAATAAGGAAGCAAGGGATAAAGCTCAGCACAGATTGACTTTGCTTCAGTATTTTCTTGCTGCATTGTCCTTAGAGTATGAAATACTGATCAATAGTCCAGCTCTTTTACATTTTAAAATGAGATGGATCAAGGTGAGGAATGCAGTGGAAAACGATCCTACAGAAACACTGGGTGGATATTTTTATATCTAACACATTGGTTTGTATCTCCACATGAAAGCTGGCCAAAACAAGTTTCCTGTCTCTCTATGAAACTCGAGTTTAATACAGAGGATGTATATTTATAGGCTTCAAATGACATTTCTGCATATAAAAATGTAGATTTCAGTGGGATTTTCAAGCAAAACCAGGTGAGTTGTTTTGTGTGTTTTGGTTTGGTTTTTATTTTTAAATTGAACCCCCAGTATGAATATAAATTAAAGGTTTATAATGGAAATAAGGCAATGTATCTCCTTTCACTCTAGAAATATGCCATCAAACAACCTTTCAGATCAGACTTGGTTGTTCAGTCATTTTTGCAAGGCAGAGGATAAATACCTGTGTGGGGAAGGAAAGAAGCTGGAATAGAGAAAGAGGAGAAGTTCTTTGGTTTGAACCTCATCAGTGGTCTCTCCAGAAGAGAAAGGTCACAGCTGAAGCTGTCCGTGGACAGAGACATTATCCCATGTCATCTTAGCAGTAAACTGAGTGAAGTGGATCGAGAGCAGCCGCAAGGAGAAGGACTTGGGGGTGCTGGTGGGTGAAAAACTAAATATGAGCCAGCAATGTGTGCTTGCAGCCCAGAAAGCTAACTGCATCCTGGGCTACATCAAAAGAAGTGTGGCCAGCAGGTCAAGGGAGGAGATTCTCCCCCTCCACTGTGGTGAGATCCCCCCTGCAGTGCTGTGTCTGGTTCTGGGGCCCCCAGCACAAACGCAGACACGGACCTGCTCAAGTGGGTCCAGTGGAGGTCCACAAAGATGCTCAGCGGCTGGGGCGGCTCCCCCGTGGGG